TTTTTTTTTTTTTTTTTTTTTTAATAACAGCATGATGTCATAAAACGCTCTAGTGAACTATGATCTGACTTTCAGATTTCAGGGAGTCTCTTTCAGGAGGAGCCCTATGAGTGGGCATTTCCACAAGGTGGAAGCAAGCTTAAAATCCCTGCTGGATAAAATGTGTGGGAAATGCAAAAATTACTGGAATGGAGAATAAAAGTAAGCTTATCATGCAGAGAAATCTGGAATTCCTGCTAGACTTGGCCAGTTGTAATGAAAAGGGTTTTGATATGGCCGAATGTGTATTTCTTCTTTGTCACTAAGGAGGGCCAGGCTTTGTTTTAGAACAAGGGAATATTTTTTGAAAAGCTGAAAAATGTCAGGGCTGTAGTGGATGGTGAAAATAAATTATAGAGGACAATGAGTCATCGAAGCTATTGAAGTGAACAGGGAAGCTAAAGTATTTTCTGTGTGCAAATAAAGATCAGGTGCTTTTCCAAAGAGTATTTGTTAAATGTATTGTTCTCTGGCCAAATATAAGTTCCCAAGTTAAGTATATGAGCAGTAGTTTATTTATTTATTTGACCTGGGAAGGATTCCATTTTTTGCAATCTAATAATCCTGTCTTGAACAGCTGTTATTGGTTTTCAGCATATTCTTAAATAGTGGGTAATTATTTGCTGTTAAAAATAGGAGGTTGTATTGTTAAAGGGAAATTTGGGTTTGGACGAAGAAGGACCAGATGCATTTTGAGCATCTGTTTTCCTGTTAAATTTTTGATCATTCTCTCCCATCTAAAGAAAGCAAACTTTAACTGCAGAAACTGTCAACAGAGGAGGAATAGAACTCATATAAATTGCCAGAAAGGGGATAAAGGCAAACATTGCTGGAACAGTTTGATAGTTTTAGCTTTTATTTGAAACAACAGCGACACTTAAAAATATTGAAAGTATGCTTTAGTTAAGAGTTTCTTTTGCCAGGAAGCAATATGAAACTATTTTTTTGGGGTTTGTTATTTTTTTCATCCAATAATGAAAACAGTAGTTTTCGTTAGTAGTTAATGAAAGTTTCAGTAAGTTAAGTAGTTTCAGAAAGTTTCAAAAAGCCAAAGAGCTTCAGTAGTTAACAAAAACAGAGGTTTTGTTGTTTCTAATTTGTTAGTGTTGTTTTTTTATCAGGATGGTTGAGTATATTTTTGCCTGCTCTCAGCTTGTGTCAACTGTCTGTGGGTGATGGTAGCTAGTTGTTAAATATGTTGTCTGTGTGCTGCTTGCAGAAGGATTTTGTCCTAGGCAGAAGAGCTGAAATACACACGTAAACCCATGCCTCAGTGAAAGGTTAAGTATAACGTCTGGTTAGCTTAAGAAATTTTGTCAGGGGAAAATGATACTGCTACTAAGAAACAGTAGCTCCATCTGTGTAGCTACTTTTCAGCTGCTGCATATATTATGCATTCTGCCAAACACCATAATCCCAGCAGATTTAGTTGCTTGATTTGATCTTGTGGCAGTGTTTGCCACAGTGTATGGCTTAAACTTGAGTGTAGCAGAGCTTAGTAGCTGGAGACTTTGTATGCCAGGTATTTTAGAAGGATTCCTCCCTTGTACTTAGAGCATGCTTTTGGGTTGTCACAAACATCCTCAGTTTCCCTGATTTACTTAGTTTTCAGGATTCATCAGTGTTTTGCCTTTAGCTGGTCTTATTCAGGGTTAAGTGGATATGATAAACTGTTGGCATTGCAAATAACTTAATATTTAACCACAAGAGTTCAGGCCAGAGGCTGCCACTGCCATTAGCTGACCCCCTTGGGCCATGTAACGCAGGGCTCTCGTAGTGCTGCAAGTGCAACTGTACAGCTTGCTCTAAATAACTTGTAAGGTGGGAAAGGGATGGAGTAACAGAGAGAGTCTTTTTTATTGCAAATAAACATGAGCTGAAATCTCTTTCTTAGTTTTTTAGTGTTGTAGGCATGTGGCAGTACTCACAGATCTGGAAATGGCTGGCTTCAAGAAGAAAATGTACATTGGTAGCAGGGAATGGGAAGGAAATGGAGGGAGGAACTATGGCAAATTTCTTTTTTCTTTCCCCCCCTCTTTTTTTTTTTTTGGTAAGTTTTGCACATAGGTGGATGTTAGCAAAGTACACAAAATATTTCCCTTGCCTCTCTGTTTACTGCCATGCTTAAATTAGCAGTGTTCACAGTCAGCTGAATATGTTCAGGTATATGTGTGCTTTCAGTGGAGCTGCTCACAGGATGGCAGATGAAGTTGTCTTACGTCCTTGATGCCCTTTAATATGTGCTGCTACTAGTATATACAATTACAAATGCAGAATTTCCTGCAAGACTTGTACCCAAGTATCACTTTTATTTTATTTTTTTTAAGTGTCTAAATAGGTCAAACCTTCTTTGGTTCATGCAGAATTATGCCAAGGTTAAGGGTGATAATGTGCAGATTTGATTTCAAGTATGACCACTATATATACATTTTTTATGTTGTTAAATTTAACCCATATAAGAGTATTCTTGTCAAAAGAAGGGGATAAATGTTATGAAGTCTCAGCTATTTAACTCGTTTTTCCCAACAAGCTTTTTAAAAACAAACAACGCCCTCAAAAAAACTCCCTAATTGCCCAGCAGCCAGTATCTATGCCAGTTACTCAGTGCTATTGTATCAGAATGGGGATGTGATCTGAAATGTAAAACAAAGATATAAATGAAATGAATGATTGGGAATGGTGCAATGTGCCAGACTTGTGCAACAGCATTTGTCGGAACTCTTCTGCTGAATCCTGAGTTATGTCTGTATAAGCTGTACTTACATTGATATATTTGCTGACGTGTTAGTTAATTTCTATTAGTATAATCTTCCCTTAAACTGTTGCCCAAACTGACGTGGTTACGCTAGTGTGTTCAATAAATTCAATTTCACAACATATTAGTTAAATTGATATATATTTTTGTGGGAAATGATTTGGTGAACTTGGCCTATTTTTTCTTATCTTTTTAATGGTTGTATTGGCAGTCTTCTTCATGACTGGTTTAGTGGTAGCGTGACATGACTGTTATCTGAAAATAGTGACCAAGATGGAATTTCTGCAGACATTGCAGCAGTGAAGTGTCATCATACATATGGTTAAAATACTCTTACTCTTTCTTTTAGCTTTCTGAAACGAAGGTATTTACTGCTTCCTCTGTTCCAGCTGAGAATCACGTTACTCCTGGGCAAAGGTAAGCTCCCTCTTCCATCCTTTCTTCTATGTTTAAAAATACTTCATTTAGTGAAACCGTTTTAGCTTGCATACATTAAAATATATATTGAATAAAACACAAGAACAGTCCTGGTCAGAGATTGCTCAATCTGATTTTAAAACTGTGAAAGCCTTACTTGCAAATAACTGATTCTGTGTGATCCTCTGTTACTTGTATTTGATTTTGAATGTGGAGACAAGCTTGTCAAATCCATGAGGATAATATTCCAAAGACTGTGTCTTTTACAGAAAGACCTTTATTATGACAGATATAATGATAGAAAAGCTTGCATGAGCAAGAAGGAAAATTTCATGATGGTCATTAATGTTACTTGCATTTTTTTCAACGTAGCGATTTTGTGTAGAGAACCAAAACATGATGGTTTCTTCCTTTTTCCTTTGTTTTCACTTGGTGTCTGACAAATGGTAATGTGAAAATAGTCTCCTGGTGTAGCTAACACTTCGTTGGGTTGCAGGAAAGCAGGTTAAAGCTACACGATCAGTATTTCTGAAGTCAGAAAGCAGGATATCTAAAACTGCTCCCAAGCACCTTGATAGAGCTTTATTGCTTAAAGTACAGTAAAATTTTGCTTACAACATGGATGGGACTTGGAGGCAGAATGGTGTCAGTTGCTGTAGAGTCTATGTCCTTTTACTTCTTAAAATCAGTATGCATTAATGCTGTTGTAAATACTTCCCTAAGTGGATGTCTTGTGAATTATTTTAGAAAACTTTTTAGTTTACGATTTCAAGTTCTAGCTATTCTTTTCCTTTTGCATGTGTGCTTTTCTTTTTCTTTTTCTTTTTTTTTTTTCTTTCCAAAAGGAACCTCTTGGATGCTTGTTTCGGTGTCTGGTGAATCTCTAGTGTATGTTATCCATAGTAATAGAAGTGCTAAAAGCAGCTCTTTAGTTTAAGCTTGCAGTGTATTTGGGATAGACCTCAGTCAGATTTTTTTAGAGCAGTTTGTTTTTATTGTATGAGTGCTTGGCTAAACCTCTGCTAAACATGTTACGTGGTAAAAAGCCATGTTAAATATACGAAAATAGATGTTTCTTGCCCTGCCTATGTATATGTGCTAGAGCAGTTTTGAATATGTGCCTACAATCCGAGCTGCTCTTGCAGCTGACGTGATCAGGCAGTCACTGAATTGCTGCTTGTCCATTACCATCCTCATGCCTACTTTATACAGGTTTAGGCCTTTGATCCCTTGCTCCTTGTAGAAGTATTATGTGATGCCCAGGGCATGTGGATTATCGAACTATATAATGGACTGGCAGGGAGAATTGACTTGTGTGTGACTTTTTTTTTTTTTTTTTTTCTCTCTTGTCTCCAGTTACATGTTTATATTGATCATATAGGTTACTTACATGAGGCATGATATGGTAGAGCTGATAACATTTGAGGAAAAGTGCAAAAAATACTTATCCTCTTTATGTAGTGGAAAATCTCTGCTAGCAAAATTTCCCTTTCTAGAAGAAACTGCTATTCCATCTCGTCATATGGAGACTTCTTGTGTAGTAGGTAGACAAGTAAGATTCACAATGACTTACTTCTATTTCGGGTGTGGCAGGTTCATCTAGGTACTGTTAGCACCTCTTTCAGTTTCAATACTGCACAATGGTCTTTTTTGTTCTAGCTAAACTTGACTTTTTCTTACAGCATCGATTTGGTAACCCTGCTTCAAAAGCCCGTGACTTCCACTCAGGAAACAGAAGGCAACTCGTTTGAGGCTCCCCAGCAGCAGACCTTTGGCCAAGCCCTAGTCTTCACAAATTCTCAGCATAGCACCCAGATGGCATCAGGAACTGGCAGCTCTTGTGCTGTAAACTCCTATTCGCCTCAGAGTCTGGTAAAGTTGTCTTACAATTTCTAAATACTCCACATCTTGAAGAGTAAATATCTCGGGTCAAATGACTCTTTCAGTAATGGCTGGTTCATGAGATGTTTCAATATTTGTAAAATTTGAGGTTCATATGCTGAAGGAAATGGATTGAGAATATCCTCACAAAAATGTAAAACACATGACTTTTTCTGGTTTTGCTTTGTTCTTGCATAGCTACACCAAGTACTTCATGAAAGTACTACATGAAGGACAAGTATAATGCAATGTGATTTGGAATGAAATTGTTTGTTTATATAAAGTGATATTCTATGCCAGAAAACTATGATGTGGTATTTCCAAGCACATATCTGAATGTTCTTTGTGGAAAACTGACTACTTCTGAGTTTTCTGGAGTGAAAAAAAGTGACTTCTCATCTTTTAATTGTTTGAAGGGTTTGAAACTGGGTACTTGAATAGCCTCTCAAATAATGAGTAGAGCTATTAGTAAATGTTAGGTTGGGAGGCCAAACCTGTTAGCGCCATGGAGCTGCAGCTCCATGATTCCAGATCCAACCAGTATCAAGGCTGAGAATGTGTTCCCAGTAGGCACCTACACAAACACATATGCAACATATTTAAATAGCCTGCTCCTCTCTGTCTCCTGCCTGGAGAGAGACACCCCGCCGTGTTTCCCAGGTCACTTTGTCCCTTCCTCTGGCCTGAGGTGGTCATAGGCTCACTTGCATTCCCTTGCTCACTCCACTTGCACTCGAATGTGCTGGCACTACTCCAGGCACAGTGGTGCAAGTACTCTGGTGCCTGGGCAAGGGATCTGGCTTTACAGTGAAACAGCTGAATTTTTAGTTGGTTATTTATTAGTAATCAAGAGTTGAAAGGGGTTGAACTGTTGCCAAGTAGCAAATGTAGGCATTGATGCTAAGGATATGTTCAAATTACTGCATACTTATCTTTCTCTTTTTGTGTTTGTGTGTGTCTGTGTGTATTTTGCTAGTCTGCAGTTCTCTGTTCTGGCTTTGGAGAACTTGGATCCTCTAAATTGGCAAATTCTACTGGATCCCAAATCTTAGACCACTTGAAGGCTCCAAGTTTGGGTCAGTTTAGCTCTCAACAAAACAATAGTAGCTCTACCACCACTTCCACGACTACCACATCGTCCTGGGATCTTAAGCCCCCCATTTCTCAGTCCTCAGTCCTTAGTCAGTTTGGTAAGTGCTTTGACAGAGTTTCCTCTATTTCTATCCTAAACTATTTTTTCAGCATAAACATGAGTTTTGAGTGGACTTGCACTGTGCCTTTTTTTCTTTTTTTGTAATGTACTCCTAATAATGTAATTGGATGGGACATGTGGAGTTCCACTTATTTGCTGATAATGATGCTATGAATATATCAAAAAAAATTTGAGAGATTCAAGCTTATCAATAGAAGCAGTGCATCTTTAAAAATTTTGAGCTTTCATTTAATGGTGTCTTAGAATTAATAAACTTAAAAATTAAATGGAAATTTAACGTGACTTTATTTCTCAACAGATTGTAATAGATGCTCATTTTTGGTCTGGGTACCATATTTTGTCTTTCTACTTTTCATTTTTTCTCTCCTAACCACTGAGAGAATTGTGCAAATTTACAATAAGCATTTTTCTTCATAACATGCATCCCATCTCAGCACTCTTCTGTCATGTACAAGTCTGCACCTGCTGGGAATGATGTTGATTATGTATTTTGTCATTTCATAACTGTATTGATTTTTCATTGAATTGAATAAAATTAAGTTAAATGAGTAAAAAGGGCATGAATTTTTTTTTTTAGGCCATGTCACTTGTGGCAGTGCTCTCACTGAAGAAAGATAGGTGTTATATTTATCTTGTATTTGTATGTGTCTGTGCACGTTTCCAAATAAGCAGCTGCTTGGGTAGCAGTTATAATCTTTTACATGCAGTAATGCTGCTTAAGTATTTATGTACATTTTAAGTTACTTTCTAATGCAATTTAACAACTGAATATACAAATCTTGTACACTCTGAGTGCTGTGGATCTCCTATGGTTGCTGGCCACTGCTCTGAGCCATTGCTTGACTTTGACTATCGGAAAACTTGGAAAGGGGAAATTTGGAAAAAATCTATCCATGTCTAGTAACTCTTGACTTTCAGACAGATTAGAATGGTAGATGACTTCCTGATTGTGCTGAAAATCTCCAGTAAATCTGAATTCATAATACCTCTAAATACCACACCCTTTGAAAGTAACCACTATTGAGAGGCATGGTGAACGGTAGTGAAAATTGCAGTGTTTGACTAAAATAAACCATGACAGCTTTTTAAGGCCTATACTATGTCACTGTAAAAATAGCTGTAGGTTCTCATATTCTTAAAGAAAGTTAAATAATGCTAGCTCAAAACTTTAAAGTGTGAAAAATCAAGTGTTGGCCTTTATTACAATGGTTATGTTCAGTGTTAAACTCGTGGTGATATCTGAAAGAGATGGTACACAACTATAGTTGTAAACTATGTCAGACAAAGTGTGTTACAGCTGTAAACTGTAACATACTGTGCTGAGCATCCCACCCTCCTAATTCTTAACATAGAGAGAAGCTCTGAGAACGGATATTAATGCTTGCATTTTGGTATTTCTTTTTCCGTATGCTGGCTAGACTTTAAATCTCAGCCCGAACCATCTCCAGTTCTGAGCCAGCTGACTCAACGACAGCAGCAACAAACGCAGGGAATCCCTGTTCCTCCTCCGGGGCTGGAGTCCTTCTCCTCCCAGGTGAAGCTCCGAGAGCCATCGCCAGTAGACACCTCAACGGCTGTTAGCAAAATTTTGCAGCTCCCCAGCATATCTCTGGATAACCAGGCAGTGACTGCCCATCAAACCCAGCAGAAACAGATGAAACCACAGAAGCGGAGGATAACTCCATCATCCAAGGTGCATAACTCAGTGGAGCTAGTCCTCTGTAAACAGGTGCTGTAAATCACTAGGGAGGACGAGAACAAGTGTTGGGTGCATTCCTTGTCTGTATAGGAGGAAATTCTAAGCTAGAGAGTTTGCAGTCCAAAATACAGTGATGCTCTCTTTTCCAAGCACATAACTGATTACTTTGTGTGGAAAACGACTGTTCTGAGTGATTTTGGATTGACTTAGTGGTGTCTATAAGATGAAAGTTGGATGAAGGGAGGATGTACATGGATATTCATATTACAGAATAGCATGGCTTACTCTTTGAGTTCCAAATCTGTGATGTAAATTGGAGTGTTGGGGTGGTTAGCAGCAAACACCGAGGTGGTAATTGAATAAGCTTGTAGTTAAAGGAAGGGAGGGTGCTATTTTTGTATATATTTAGATAGTGTATATGAAGGAACCGTGACTTTTTTTTTTCCTTTAAGATTCCTGCCTCTGCAGTGGAGATGCCTGGATCAGCTGATGTGACAGGGTTAAATGTTCAGTTTGGAGCTCTGGAGTTTGGGTCAGAGCCTGCACTCCCAGAGTTTGGAGCAACTTCAAGCAATGAGAATACCAGCCAGGCGACCAACAATAGCTTGTACTCAAAATCTGTGAAGTACGTGCAAGTTTCTGTTGTGTATTCTTACATGTCCTCTTCAGGGGTCAAGTTTGTGCCAAAAATGTCAAGGCAAAGTTACTATGTAACAGAAGGGGGAAATATGATGATTCCTAAGATTCTGTTTTCTGTGGCTGGCATCTTAAAGGAGGAATCTTGTTTCTAATGGCAATTAAAATCTCCTTGGATGAGCAAGTTGGAAGCTGGAGATGACGTGCATGTAAATATCCTTCTAATAAGCTGCCCTTTTTAGCATTAGTTTCTCATGTTTAATTGTACTGATTTTCAAATCTTTTTGAGGTTTTATTTGTTCAGAGCCCTAATTCTGCTTTAGATCCAGGAGAGATGAATGTCGCGTATTATATATCTGTGTCGATAGATTGGCACCAGATTGCAGAATTAATATTCCAGTAGGATGAGAAAAGAGTATGCAGAAGTTCAAACTTAGATGCCAAAGTGGACAATGATAAATAAAACCATACTAGTAACACTTACTTATTTCTTCATTAAAAATTTTCTTTCAGTAAAAAAAAAAAAATCCTTTTCAAAAATACTGTAAACATGAATTTGATTTTATAGTTCATATATTATTTAAGCTACTTAGAAAGCAAAAGTCTTGTATTATTTTAGAGTATTTTTTTCTTTATGTAGCACATTTTAGACAGTTGTCATAGAATTCTTCTGCAAGAGACTAGGTTTATCTCATCATACACCAGACTTCTGTGCACGTAGTTGTTTAAAAAAGTGGGATTGTGATGTTTGGTTCTCCAAAGCAAAATAACAGGTTTTACGTTATTAGGCTTTCTCATATAAATAATGTGGATTTGAATATATTTTACATAATTCTATATAGTTGTATAGGAGCTGATATTTTCATGAAGGTATTTGAGATAGATGACATTTACCAAGATGATCAATAACTTTTGCTTTTTCCAGTGATCCTTTGAATACCTCTTTGCCAATATCCAATACAATACAGGAGTCAACCTACACAACCTCTGCCATCACCTCTTCCAGTCTGACCTGCTCATCCCAGAGCACTAGCCCAGTAACAACAACTTCCTCCTATGACCAGAATTCTGTGCATAGCAGGATAGCGTACCAAAGCTCCATGGCTCCGTCTGAATCGACCGCCGTTGCAGTTACGGTGAGTGAATTTCAAAAATAAGACCTTGAAGTGAGTTTAAATATTCATGTTACTCCTGTCAGACTTGTATTACCCTACTATTTTAATACTTTTAATCAAGCCAAGTTACATCTTTGATTCCCAAGCCGTGCGGCTCTCTGTTCTTATTTTTCTTACCATGTAGCCATTTTCTTGCTGTCCTGTGTTTGGTGTACAGTAGCCTTTGATCATATAGATTCTCTCATCTTAAATTGCTGACTTTTTTTAGTAACACTGCCAATTCTAGTTGAGTTTCTTTACTTTCCCTAAAGCTTAGCTTTTAAGAAAGGAACTATCTCTCTATATAAATATTAGTCATGATATTTTGCCATATCTTGACAGTTTTTCTCCAAAGGTAACATCATTTATTAAGTTTATATGGCACCTAGCAAATGGATCTAAAACTCGTTTGTTGCTCTTGCAGCATTACTTTTCTGCTAGTTAGATTTAAACACCAGTAGGAATTAGTTTCATGTTGTATTTTAAACAGCATATGGGAGATCTAATCGAGGGTGGAGAGGATCTCTCTGTTTCTCGCTCTCTGTGGAGACGTTCAAAAACACCTACTCACTTTGTATGAGGAATGTAGGTTTGCTTTAAGAGAACTTAATTTATTAAATGCTTAAGGAACTTGTGAGAATTTAAGCTTTTTTATTTTTATTTTATTTTTTACATCTGGCCTTTGATATGTAATGGCTCAGTCACACTTGTCTTCTGTACTAGCTCGTATGTACTGGTGAGGATCAAGCATAGACTATCCACTTCTGTACTCCAGCGTTATCCAAAAAACAACTGGTGCTTCTCAAGTCTTATCTTTCAATGGAAAAAAATGGCATTTTGGCGTCTCTGTGTAACTTGGATAGTTAAAATTGTGAGTTGCATTAGATCAAAAGCACAACCATTTCCTGTATGTTAATGCAATTCTCTTTCTTGCATATCGGTGTGAACCTGAAGTTTATGTTGTATACCGTACATGGGAAAGTCTTTCAGATGGGTGTAGTTCGGGCAGTGTATGGGGTTCTGTATGTTCAGGACACCTTGCACTTGAGACAAGTGTATTATGTGATTTTGTTAAAGGTAGTAACAAGTTAATTTCCTACCTTTATTAATAGTCTTTAAGTTTAGAGTGGTCATAGAATTTTTGCATGAAGCATGTTGTATGTGTGAATCAGTCTGAAAATGTAAGATACCTGTGTAAGGTGACTTACTCCATTCTCCTTTGTTTACAGAATGGGCACAGTGGTGTTCGAACACAGCCTACTCTTGACAGTAAGTGTTTACAAAGCTCCATTATACGCAGGACTCTTTCTGACTTTTCCCTACCACTTGGTATGCGCGCAAGTAGTAACAGTGATACCTGCCTGAAGGTTTTGTACAGTTCTTGCTGTTTATCTTTGATCAATTTGAGTTAATTTTGTAGTTCCAAAGAATGTACAGCTTGCTAACTGGCTAATACTAATCTATAAAATCAGCCCTGTTAAATATATGTTCAAATGTGCAATGCTGGGCAGCCTTAGTGTTAGAAAAGCTAACCACAGTTTTCCCTCTTCCATTTGAATTCCTCTGCCCAAAACTCGCTTGTGTATGTACGCATAAATACATATATAAAATTATTTACCAGTGTTTCCAATTCCCCCTGGAAAAGCTGTGGTTAGCCCTTAGGGGTAATGAAACAAAGCCACATCCTTCTAAAGGATTTCTCCTGCAAGCAGTGCTGCTTTTGCCCTGTCGCAGCGAGTGGGGATGACTGCGCTCCCTCTGCTGGGTGTCTCCCTGCCTTGCAGTACAGGAGGAACACGGCAGTGCTGCCTCGGATAGAGGTGCTGGTGTTTGCTTTGTTCTGGTCCGTTCTTAGCGTGCTGCTTTACTTGTACTGCCCCTATCACTCTCTTCCTGGAGTTAAAATATAATTTATGTTCTTCTGGCATTTATGTGCAGCTTTATGGAAATTTCCAGGGCAGCAGTGTTAATAACTTATGAAATTCTCACGCTCAATTGTTAAATCTGTCCTCTTAAACATTGCCTCAGTTGTCAGAAGTTGGGCGACCCCTTTTTTTATCTTAGTTTAGTTTTCCTTTTCTTTTTGGCCTATGTGTGCAAAAGACTTGAGTATTCAAACCTGTAAACACTTTCTTTTTTTTTTTCCTTAGCACTTGCTTCTGTTTAACTTAGCTCTTAAAAGAAATTGTAGCATCTAAGATAGCTTTTCAAATGGAAAAAATTCTATCAGTTACAGAAATAATAAATGAAGTGTTGAAAATCACTACAGGACTTACTTACCTTTTTGCTATGGAAAATGAAGTTCCAAGAATTCCTAAATTTTTTGTAGTTACTTTGTAAGAGCTTCCTTTATTTCCCTTTTCTATGCCAGTTTTCTTTTGACTTCTGTTCTTTTTCTGTATCTCAGGTCTGTAAGTGTGAACATACCTTCTTCCATGAATCTGTTTCACAAATCCAAATCATCTTGAATCTTGTCTTTCTTATTGCTATTTAGAAGTACTAACTTTTAAACTTTTCTGTGTGCCTTCTAATAATATTATCTATGTTCCGTTATTAATAGTATTTTTTCATCTCTCATCTTTGCTATTGTTCTTTAATATCCAGATCTCATCCTCTCTGAAACTTAAGTCAAACAAAGCATGACTGTTGGCATACTTCTCTATATTTTTATATACTTTTTTTGTATTGCACTTCATGTCCAGGCATAGAGTTTCTTAATGAAGACAATAATTTGTTCCCCAAAGTAGGGGACATCTACTTTGACTTCAAACTGTGGTCTAAATATGATGAGAGATCTAAGTGTCATTTATTTTTAAATAACTGTTGCCAGGAGGTATGGGGTGATTTAGTTGTCTGCCTCATGACAATGCTTTCACTTTCATATCCTTCTCTATTCTGTACCATCATGCCTGTTGCCAAGGCGAAGAACTCTTGCTTTCTTTTTGCATAGCATCCAATCCAGCAACTTACTTTGAGGCACTCAGGGGAAAAAACAAAAACAATAATGTGAGGAGTGATGCTTAATTCCCAAACATGTATTTTGCTTGGGAGCTGAGTGCTTGGTAGTGGGCCTCTGAGTGTTTTAACTGCTTTTACCCTCGCAAGCACACAAGTTAATAGCTGAGCCCTTGGGTAGTGATGTCTGATGTTGCATGACAGCTTGATACAGCACCAGGCAGGGCTTTCTGGGTTTTATTGGTGAGCAAGTGTTTCTAATTTGGTGTTCTTCAGAGGACAAACATAAAATTTGTATAGGACAGCAGGGGAATTATCCCGGGTGATAGAGCATTTCTGCATCTTATTAAAATATAATCATCCTCTGGAAAGGTCTGTCTATAGTAAACTACTTCTGCCATGTATGGGCCAGAAATATAATCTCAATATTAAGTATTTCTTACTGTTGAAGTCATATAAAGTCAGTCAGTATTTGACAATTCTTTGGCTGTTAAGTGCATAATGCTGTGTTTGATGTGGCCTTTTATTGGAGCTCATTTTTTTTTCTATACATTTGACTTAGTGCTCCAAACTGGTAAGTTTTATGTGTTCTTTTACTCCATGCAAATTTCAGACTTGAAAAGTGGAACATAAGGGGAAGAGAAGAAGCAGAGATACAGGCAAAAGTAGGTTTGTGCAGGGCTTTGAAGATTGCAAATAATTTCCTTTGTGGAAGGGGACTGGAATCAAATGCAAAGAGTTTTGAAATGTGAATGGAATTGTGGGCAAAAGTTAGTAATCAACTAATGAGAGGTGAAGTACAGGAAGAAAACTGTAGTTCACTACATATGTACCACTGAAAACTACACATCTTCTGTAGATGACAATCTTAATGGGAAACAAATGATAGTTCTGGTGCCACATTTTATTTATATATTCTTGATATATGTGTGTGTGTGTATATAT